CACCACCATGACCAGCTGATTTTCATATTTTTGGTAGAGACGGGTATCTTGCCATGTTGCCCAGGCTGGTCTAAAACTGCTGGCCTCAAGCAGTCCTCCTGTCTCAGCTTCCCACAGTGCTGAGATTACAGGTGTGAGCCACCATGCTCAGCCAGATTAATTCTCTTTTTGAGGGCACCTTTTGTGTACTCAGCATTTTAACCCCTTCTTTGCCTTCCTGTGGGAACCACACACTTTCCTAGGTTTGAGAATTGTTTGGTCTCTTAGTTTCTTGTCACCCAGTGTCCACATGAAGGAAACCCACGGGGAGGGTAACGAGGAGATGACCTGCCTTAAGGACTGGTTTACCCCATTGAGGGGGAGGCTCAAATGAGGTGGATTTTCCCAGACCCACACCACGGTCTTGCTGTGTAGTCGTTCTCAGCCTCAAGTTTCTCATCTGTAACATGGGGACAGTAGTGTCTACCTCACACAGCTGTGGTAAGAATCAAATCAGTGTAGGTAAATTATTTAGTGCATGTATTAGTTATCTATTCCTGTGTAACAAATACCACCTCCCCCCCCAATTTAACAGCTTAAAACAAACATTTATCTCAAAGTTTCTGTGGATCAGGAATCTGAGAGTGGGTGAGCTGGGTGGTTCTCGCTTAGGTCTCTCTTGAGGCTGTGTTCAAGGTGTTGGCTGGGGCAGTCACCTGGAGTCTGACTGGGGTAGGGTCCACTTCCAAGATCACTCACATGGCTCTTGGCAGGTCTTTCCTGATCCATTCAAGGCTTGTGCATGTGAGTGTTGGCAGGCTTCAGTTCCCTGCCACATGGACCTTTCTATAGGCTGGCAAGATGTCCTTGTGATGTGATAGGTGACCTCTCCCAGAGTGAATGACAAGAGAGAGAGAGAGAGAGGGAGGGAGGGAGGGAGGGAGAGGTATCTGTGTGGATGAATGCCACAGTCTTTTTATAACCTAATCTTGGAAATGACATTCTAGCACTTCTGCTATTTTTATTTGCTAGAATTGAATCACTAAATCCAGCCTACACTCAACAGGAGCAGGGGATTAGACTCCTCCTCTCTGGGGGAGAAGGATCAAAGAAGTTGTAGACTTATCTATAAAACACCCACAGCACAGCTTGGGGCTTGTATTAACAGTAGGTTCTCAATAAATGGCCTGTTGTTATTAGCTTAGCAGACAAATTCACATCTTGGTGAATTTCTAGATAGGCTTTAGGGACATCCCCACTTTCATCAGGCAAAAGGAATTCCGGGCTCTACAGTGGATTGGAGATTACACCTAGGAGACCCCCACAAAATGAGGATTTTTATCTTTTACTTTCTAGAACTTGGGAGGAAAGATTCTTCTAGAGATCTCCTCGGTTGTGCTGGATCATTCCATCCAAAGACTCTATGAGAGGAACATGTACTGTTTAAAATTCCCTCCCTCAGCCTGAGCATGTTTTCTCCCTGACACTTGGTGCTGCCTCTTCCCGACTGGGGAGGAGGGAGTGGTTCCCCGTAAGGGGAAGATAC